TATCGCACTTCGCTGCGCCCTTCAGTGCTGCAGGGATTACCAATCGCAAGCCAAGTCACACTTACCCCTTGTAATACACAATGTTTCCCCATCTGGGCAACGTTTAAGCTTACATTGGCTTTGATGCTTTGATGAACGAGTTGCAAGCACGTGAAAGCCTCTGCCAAGGCGATCTGTCATTTCTACACGTTCCTGCTGACCGCAATCTAGCACGATCGCCCAGCACCATCTGCTGGGCAAAAAAGACTTATGCAGCTAAGCGAATTCACTGCACGCTAAAGTTTCAAGACTGAATTGTCGTCAAGAATGTTGCTGATCTTTAGATGCGCAGGTGCAGCCTGCTTCATTTCGCTTGAAGCTGAGTACGCTACGTCATGTAATGCTTGCAACTGGCCGCTTTCTTGCTGTCTTCATTGCTTCGCCCTAGGTCTGCTGATCCACTCACATTGACGTCGTGACAAGTACAAACTGCCACCTCTGCGTTGCATCAGGAAGCAGTTGAGTAGTCAGGTGGTTTGAAAGGCAGGCCTTCCAGCTTGGACATAGGCGCTTCAAGCAATCCAGGCGCTCACCACACCTTTGGTCACACGTGGCCATCCATGCGCATTCATCCTCATGCCAGGCTGGATTGACCTTGTAGGGATGCCTTCTCTAGGTTTCTCTGCACTTGGTTGCTTTGCCAGGCTCGAGGCAATTATCCACAAGTCTCTGTCTCCACGTTCACTGTCTTGTGGCGATCATTCGTGTTCACGACTAGTAAGAAGAATCTAGAACGCAAACGGACCACCATGGCAGCATATTGAACGTGTAATTCGCATTGGTTTCCCATCCACCCAAACTCTGAGCTGATTGCAACAGAACCAAAGATTTTGAGATCAGTGAGCACTGAAATGAACCATTGACATGCTTAGCACTATCGTTCTTACACAAGGAGTTCTGCACAAGTGCATGCGTCTCCAGATTCAGTTTTGAGATGCCGCTGCCCAAGCCTGCTGAGAAAGGCACCTGGGATGCTTCATGCTCGTCCATGGGGCCTTGCAGCCAGTAGCAACTATAACGGACTAAGAGGAGACGGGCTCAACTTGCACGTGCAAAAGTGTTTCGTGTTTCATAAATCATCTAAATCCTACCAAGGAAGCCTCAGTTTCTTGATATCGAGGGATTCCTCCAAGGTCTCGAACTAGATCACGACCTTGCCCAGTGCTGCTGTGAAATTGTGGACCAAACCACTGGCATACAGCGACAGGTGTTGACACATTTCCAGGTCTAGCAGCGTCGGATTGCTCCTGTCAGCACCCTAGCGTCCCGCAAGCCCGTGCTTTGCAGGGCCACGCACCGAGAGGGGCCAAAGTTCTGGACATCTGCACAGCACAGGTGTGAATTGCACAGTGCGCCGCACAAGTCTGCAGCAAAGAAAGGGCAGTACATACAGCAATGATGCCTTTCATTTCAGTTCAACATGACAAATCCCGTTAGTTGGGGTCTAGCACCATTGCCGATGACATATCATCGATGACTTCAAGTCCTGTTAGCATTGCAGCTGTTTCGGCTAAGCGGCGCCCTACATACTTCGAAACCACTCCACTTCAACAGGTCGCTCGAAGAATTCATAGAGCTGGGCATGCTGCACATAGTTTTGGATTATGTCAATGGAATCGAGGAGGGCCTCCCAGCTGCGTGCCACCAGCTGCGGGAAGCGGTGCTGGAAGACGTGCTGGGAGAGTTTCGTGCGGACCTCTACACTCATATCCGAGTCGTTCAAGTGTATGTACTTGTTCCGAATGAACTTGAGCAGGCCGAAAGGCTCCTGCTTCCAATAATCTGCCGTCTCATGCTTGCCGGTCTGCTCCAGGTCCTGCACTATGTCAAACCATGAAGCCTTACCCTCTGGCAAGGCATGCTCGATAGCAGAATGCACCTCGCTCCTCAGATTCCGGAAGACACCAAGGTCAGCCGCAATGTCCGTGTCGCGCGAATTCATCCTGTAGGTTCCCAATGTCACAAGGAAGCGTAGGCCTTTCTGGGAAGACCAAAAGAAGGGATGCGCCAGAACTATTCGATGAGGGGTCATGTTCTTGGGAATGCGCTCGTTGAAGCCCCGCCTCTTCGGAGATCTTTCCAAAAGAGCTTTCATCAAGCACCGGAATGCATGTGAAATGTGCGGCGGCCAATCTTGCGGAACGCTGTCTTCAAGCTTCATTTTCTGGCTCTGCCAATCTCGAGGGATTCCTGCTCCATTTGCTTTGACAAGCATCATTGCCAGCATTACCATGCCGAGCGAGTACAGGTCACTGGTCCTGTCATCTGTATTCGGAGTAAATCCCTATCATAGTTTCGACAGAACCCCCCCCGTGAATGTAGCAACCGCCTCTCCGCCCTTAACAACCCTAAACCCTAAACAATATATATCTATATATATATATGTATATGTTTCCATTTTCCATTTTCTTTTCCATTATTCAGAAACCTACTTGTAAGTCCCCTTGCACCTCGTTACATAAAATCATCTCACTCCCTCCTGCAACCTCCGTCTTCTACCCTCCAAACTCTGACCGCATCATTCCGCCACAGTCTAAACTCCTAGTATCCCCCTTAATAGCCCCTACAAGATTCATATATAACCTCCATTTAAAGGGTTTAGACTGTGGCTCACATGAGTCCAAATCCATAAGCTCAGTATCCTGTGGGCTTGGATGTTGTCTTCCATGGCCTCTGGCGATGCAAAGGCCTCTGGTCCGCCTGTAGAAGCCCGGCTGTACTCCTGCACCTTCTCCACCACCTCAGGCTGCAAGCTGAATTGATAGAAGGTTCAGAGTGTAGAGCCCGGGTCTTCATGAGTGCTTTGGGGCCAGTGCATTTCGACAGACCCACCTTTGAGATGCCGAAGTCACCAAGCCTGATGGCCCCTAAGCTGTCAATCATGATGTTGTCAGGCTTCACATCGCGATGAACCAGGCTTTTGCTCGTGCCATAGTTCAGCCGAGCCAGTGTGTGAAGCAGGCTTGCGCTGACAAATCTGATCACTTGTAAGTGAGCAACGGAGCCGACCAGATGATTTGGACCCCACATGGACATGGCCTCAGCCAGAGAACCCTCCATCAATTCCATGATAACGATCTTCTCATATCTCTCATCTCCATGGTGATCCTCAAACTTGTTCTCAAAGGAGGTGAGGTATTGCACGATCCCCGGTATTGCGCTTAACGATTTCATGCTGCTGCGCTCTGCATTGAAATGTCGGTCTGAAAAATCTGTGGCGGCAAAGACCTTCACAGCAACCTCGCGACCATCTGAAGGCATGATGCCCATGTAGACAGTGGCGGCAGCACCTCATTCACTTGTGTGGGGCAACTCGGGTTGCCTGCAACAGATTAAACCCGAACCCTGAACCCTATCAGCCCTAAAGTTTTCAAGAGCGAGCCTTTGCCCACCTTCAAGCTGGTGTGGAAGTAGACGTTCCCCGCCTTACTGTACTGCATGTTCATGATGCCGCTGTTCAACCAGTTTCTGAAGTCGTCATTGAATCTGGTCGAAAGCCCATTATCCTCAGCTTGGGCATCAAGACCTCCTGTTGGAAAGCGCGTAAGTCTAGGAATACATCGGAATCCAACTTTGTTCAGCCGCAGGTACAGCATGAATTGGGAACAGTTAAGACTTCTTTCATCATGATGCCAAGCAACCCAGGAGCTCAGCAGGTACTGTTTGGGTTCATCGTCCAGCTCTATATCAATCTTGCTTCTGCGTGCCTGGCAGAAGTACATGGCTGCTCTAAACTCTAGACTGAACAGAATTGATCTGAGCTATAGCCTAAACTCCCAGTATCCGCCCTAATAACTCCCAGTATCCGCCCTGATAACCTCCAGAATACTCCCCTACATAACGCCCCCCCCTTAAGGAGTTTAGACTATAGCTCATATGAGCCGAAGGAAAACGTGTTAAGTTCGAGGTTATCCAGGGTCTGGCCTGAGGGGTCTTGTGGAGGGATGTTTAAAGTAGCAGGGCGCACAGGCTATTTGACACCAAAGACCCAGCAAGACGGCAACTTGCAGGCCTTCCACATGTCAGACTTTGGAAGTTCCAGCATGTCTTGGCATGAGACGTCCTGGCTAAATGACATCAACATCTCATTGGTTGGCTTCCCGTTCGTGCAACGTGCATCATGCAAAGGCTGGCTGCAAAGTCGTGCATCTTCGTGTCCTGCGTGCCCGAGACATCCTTTGAGGCTGCGCGGTCAACTGCATCCTGGTCCTGCATAGTGTTGCCAGGATCCGAAACCAGGTACAGCAGTGGTGCGGCTTCAAAGTTGGGCAAGAAGGCGTACTTCAAGAGAAGCTTGTTTCAGCGTGGTAAGGAAGGCTTTGCACTTGTACATTTGTCAGTATAAGCACTAGTAGGAATGACAACCGTGCTGGTCTCAAGCCCTTAAGTCCATGCACAAGCTGGCCACGCAGTACTGTCCTCATCTTCAAGCTGAGACAGCTGGGATTCCGCCACTGACTCCTTGACAAGTGTGTGGGCATCAGTGCGGCATCAGGGCATACCCTGCGGAATGGGTGGCGCAGCACCACGCACAAAGCTAAGCTCTGAGCCTCTCGTCTTATCTATGCAAGTCTGAGCAGAAGCCAAGCGTCTTGATCTTCTGAGCGTGCTGAAGGCCGACTTACCTGCGTCTTGCACGTTGGACTGTCGGCCTTACATGGAGAGATGATGCTGAGCAGTCAGTCTGGCAAACAGTGCCCGGCCTTCTCAGACACGTCAACGCTCCTCTGACAGTCCCCTTCATCTCCTCTCCTCTGCGTCTTCAGCGCTTCAGCACGAATAATTGCAGCGTCCTCTACAACTTCTTTCTTGGCAGCAATTGTTTTTGTCTCATCGATGACCTGCACCGTTTCATGAAAGGATTGCCATTTCCGGTAGTGGGGCTTTTCAGAGGCTCCCCTTGAAGTGAGCATCGGACCCTACATGGGTGGTGAAAATTCTAAGCTGGAATTCGCCCGCTAGACTTCTGGGACCTTGTTCAAGGGGACTAGGTGCTAGGGACCGAGACCGCAACCTACAAGCCCAAAGAAAACTAAGCTGAAGCAAGCAAAACGCTGTGCGTGTAGGAGGGCAGCCTTCAGCATCTTCTCTGCCACAACAGGACCCTTATCTTCGCCGCGAGTCTCCTCACAACGAGTCAGTTGCTCAGGCCTGCCGTGACCTGTTGAGGGTTGCCCGGACCCTGGAAGGAAGGGTTCTGCGCGAAATGGCACATTTTGTGGTTTGGCCAGTGCGTTGGGATGGGCCTTCAATTTCCATTTCCCAGTGCTACCCCCAGCCCTACAGAAAGCTCCCCATTTTGACTTCTCCTCCCGGAAGGCCTCTTCTTCAAGGGTGCGCACCGATTCGCGGATCGCTGCTTCGTAGGCTGCATCTCGCGGGGAGGCCTCCAGAGACGCAGGCATCTGGACTGACATTTCTCAAGCCCGAACTTGCCTCGAAGGTTGAGCTCGTCTGTCCTTTCTCTTTCGTTACGCCTGTGGCTTTTGGAGGCTGTGCACTTCTCTTCTGTCGCTGCGGCGAAGGCTTCTTTGTCGGCGCCAACGCTGGGAACTCTTCAGGCTTCCCTGGATCCGAGGCTGACGCTGGAAGGTTGTCTTCTGGCATCGTGGTCTGGACTTCCTCCGTTTTCCAAGCCATTTTCCTCGGCGGCGAAGCCGCCTTGGCTTTGGAGCTGGGCATCCTTGTTTTCAAAGAAGCCCTGACAAGAGCATCGACCTTGGCTCGGAAGTACGCGGGCGGCTCGGGCACCTTCTCGCCACCCTCCAGCTTCAACCAGGCCCAGCCTTCGGGCGTAAAGTGCACGCCATGCTTGCATTCGGACCGATTGCACCAATCGTGTGTGCGCGGGCAGATCCTGAAATCTCCCTTCATGTCGGTGTTGGCAATGTACTGTTCAGGTACCTGAAGTCAGGGTGGCCTTTGCCGAAACTGAAAACTGTCAAATAGAAACTATTGAACGGTGCTCCTGCCTTAAACGTCGAATCCAGACCAGTTGAGCTGTCTGTCCATAGCAATTCGCGCATTTCCTTGGTCCAACTCTGGAGCATGCTGGCAGACATGTCCCCAGACTGACCTGACTGTTGTCATGAGTCAGTACAAACAGAAAAACGCTTCCCAAACAGCAAACCAAATCTCCTTGGCACCCGGATACGCTGAGGACAGCAGCTCTGGTGGCACTGTTAGTTCGGACTGCCGGTGGGCGTAGAAGCAAGTTCCGAACTTCCCATATTTACAGAGGCCATCGTTTGGACCACACATGCACCGGAACTGCTTGAACTTCTCCTTGAGACGCTTGGAATCCACATGCAGAAAGATGCAATTTTGCCAATGTGGGCACTTTTCTTCCTTCATGCTGAAATGATAACACAGTTGCGTGCCCACCGCAGTCCAACTCTCGTTGGGAAGCTCCATCTTCAAAACGGTGTAATCTCTGAGCAAGGGCTCAATGAACTCCTGCCACTTCTCTGGCTTACACACCATCATTTCGATGGCTCGGGTAGCCTTGGTTGGGTAAGTGTCTTCAAAGGCAAATTCAAACTGTGGAGCTTCTCCATGCCCTGTTCCCCAGTCACCAGCTCGAAAAGTCCTCAAGTGGGCTGGAGCATCTGGCGGAAGCCGATTTCGCTCATAAACACTATGTCTGAGCTTCTTCCATTTGTGAACGTAGCTGCAATGAATCCTCTCATTTCGGTCTCTGTGCCGGTCTGGTCGCAACTTTGGGAATCCTCCACCTCCATCCCAGTCAAAGACTTTGTTGCAAAGCATTGCTGGAGGTGGAAGGGTCTCCGGTTTAATGTGGAACCAGAAAGGCGGCCGGCCACTTCCACCCACCCGGCGTTTAAAGGGAGGAAGATTTGGAAACTCCTCTGCTGGATCATCATCCTCATCCAGTGGAAGAGCCAGGTCCTGCTGGGCCATGCTCAGTACTCAGGATGAACCACCGATTCCAGGTGCTTGAAGCTACGGTACTGCTTTGAGCGATTCTCTGCGGCTGCGCAAGAACAATGGAACAGGGGAGGCGACTGGCAGGGATCAGCTTCGGCTTCAAACAAAGACCAAAGTGCATTGACACAGTGAGCTGACATGGACTAACATCCATTGCTAAGCTCCGGTCGGTTAACGACAGGCTGCTCCATGCAGACCTCAGCACGCACGGAGCCGGATACACTGCCTGGCTTCAGCCCTGATGCGATGGTCTGCGAACTTCCTAGTTGGATTCCTTCAGACATTCACAGTTCAGTGGCAGTGCGACAGATTTCGTTAAGTGCATGCCAGCAAAATTCGCATGCACGGGGCATGCCTGCCTTCGAGGTGACACTTGGCTGTGGATCAAATAACCGTTTTGTCGCAGGCCCCCCACTCACCCCTCCTGATGTCGTTGATGTGGCATTCCAATTACCGAATATACCTTTGTTGCGAAGGCTTCGTAAACGTATACTCCACAAAACATCTCAGTCGCAGAGTGTCTTGTTGCAGGCCGAGCAATTTTGATACAAGCCTATGTCGCGCAGTGGCCGCCCAAGCCTGTTGCAAACCCAACGTGTCTGATTCACAACCATTTCAGCCTTCATGATGCTGCTGCTGAATGTCTTAGCAGGCGGCCACCTGGACAGTCGGACAGGAACAGGTTTCGGCGTCATCAGCCTGCACCGACAATTTGACTTGCAACTTGCAGCTTCCTACGGCTTCCTACTTGTCTGTGGAGTCCACAGTCGAATCCACGTTGCGAGCATCACACCAGTTCATGCCACGCATGTGAATCTGGAAGCATCCAAGCAGCCGGATAGACTGTGTTGTATCTTGAAGCCTGAAGCACCAAATCTGTTCGTGAATTCCATGGCGAAACACGTTTGATATGTGGGCTCCGAAACATTCCTGCTTGCAGGCCCAAAGCCTTCCCTTCTGCGCACCCAGTCCAAACAAGTCTGGTGGTCTCTGAAGACAAGACCTGGTCCTGGCATGCTGCCATGACATTTAGACTGCGAGAGCCATTGGAAAGAACAGAAATTCCAAATTGGAATTTTTGCTTCTCCACCTTCGTAATGCTTGATATTAAGAGCATGACA